CCCATAGCAGTTACATACATTTGATATAAGGGAGTTCCAAATTGTCTCCATTGAGTAAAAATTTTAATTCAGGTGTAAGTGTCAGCCCAACAAATGTTTGTTCACTATTTCTACCCTGGGAGGCAAGCAAATGAGTAGGACAATTACCCTCTCTAGGAATATAATTGATATTGATCTTTTCTCTGGGTAGTAGGGCTAAAAACAAATTGTTCCATCTGGTTATATTCCAAGGAGGGGTTTCAACACGAAGGTGGATTTTAATGCAATTAGTAGAATGTGTTTCTATGATCAAAGGACCCATATTGAAGTAAGAAGCAATTTTGATAGCCCAGTAGATAGCTACGAATTCTGCCTCCAGAGCATCCATTGCCACAACAGGAGTAGTGAAATATATAATGGGAGAACCATAAGAGTTCCTGAAGATTCCCCCAATACCAGCAAAATCATTTGAGAAGCTGCCATCAGTGTTGACCTTCAACCAACCAGTAGGGGGAGGACTCCAAAGGATTTGTTTGAAAGGCTGAAGAATAGGAGTATTGTTTCCTGGAGTCCAGTGCTTTATAACATTGGGGAAGTGATGACACTTGATAAATTTCTGAATATAAGAGATACAATTAATAATGACAGATTTTGACCCTGAAACCTTCTCACCAAATTTTCCGTGGTTTCTGTACATCCATATGAACCAAGCCACCATACATGGTATCACCCAAAGGTTGTTGTTATGCCAATCTTCCTAGCTAGTAGAAAATTTAAGCCAGCTTAGATTCTGACTATTATTATTCAGGAGCTTGATTAAACCTGACCAAATTTTGTGAGAGGGCACATGAGAAAAATAGTGATCCAAGGTTTATTCAGCAGTACAACAAAGTGGGCAGATTGAAGGTCCTCTCAGCCCTTTCATCTTTAAAATGTCATCAGCAGGCAGTAAGGAATGCCAGAGTCTCCAGCAGAAAAAGGACATAGAGGGAGTTAGGAATTTACCCCAAATGGCTTTACTCCAAAGTATCAGGTTCCAATTAAAGAAATGATGGTAAATGTAAGCTGATAATATCTGGGAGTAAGCATGTTTGGTGATTAATTTATCTTTGGAAATGGATGAGATAGGAGTATCCTTAACCCACCTCACGTGTTCACTGGAAAGAATAGTGTTAAGCAGTCTACAATTCCACTGATTATCAGACCAAAAATCTCTGACTAGACAATTAGTGTTGGGATTGGGGTTGAGGCACTACAGTTTCTCTCCATTGCTGACCCCGTTATCTACCAAAAATTGATATGCCCATCTCCTATCTCCCAAAGGAAGAGTTCCTCAACTTTATTTCTAATTTTCAGCAGTTTTGTCCATAGTTTGGAATCCCCTATCCTTTTGGATACCAAAGTAGGGTGCAACGATCTGCAGTATTTCCCTTTTAGAAATCTTGCCCAAAGGCTATCCTGGGACCTGAATCTGATCCATAATTTG